AGCAAACGCATGTTTGGCGTTGACAAAGTTGCAACATCATGCCCACTTTCAAATGAAGCACACTCCTCTTATGATTTTTTCTTGTGTTTGCTCACGATCTATATTCCGTTTGGATGCCATCTCTCCACCTCCGTCTACCTGTCTGTTGGTGCATTTATCCACTGGCTGCTGCTGTCATTCATTGCAGAAATGTGCACAATGTCAGATAACTCATCCTTTTTCTCTATCCTCTCCTCTGCCTGAGCTGATGCTGATGGTGCTGTACAAGTGGCGCACCTTATGGCAGTGCTGCACCTTTAGCACAATGCGGTCCTTCATGGAGCACATGCCAGACTATGGATGACTGGTGTTTGAGGACAAACGGATAATTTTTTGGAAATCTCTGAGATTATGACTAATGAATACCCAGAAAAATTTACCGGTATGGACTGTGCCCTAGACCAAAGTCCGGGTATGCCCAAAGGTCAAAATTAATAATGACAGTGGTACTGGTACTGTGCCAAAGCACCGCTCTCTATCCCCAAAGGATATGAGTCTGATAATCGGATCATCGGCACCGCATCATCATGAACTGTTCCTGACAGCCACCGTTTCTCCCTCCCAAACCCTCCCCGCGCACCCAGCCACTGCACAATAATTCAACTGACGCAAAATCTCCACCGTAAACCAGACTGAACTTGCATCTGTTGCCAGAGCTTGCTTTTTTTTTCAGTTTCTTTTTTTCTGCTCCACTTTTCCTGGCCCATCTCAATCCATTTTGCCTCAGGGGCTAAATGTTCAGTGGTGTGGTAGTGCGCTCTGTGGAGGGGGGTCTTTGCAGCGCTTTGTCAGAGGAAATGTTGGAGAGTTTTGTCCTGGTGAAACTCTTTATAAAGTTTTCTCCTTGGTGAGGCCCACCACATGTGCTCTGGACCCAGTTCCCACAAAGTTTCTTAAACCATGTATGGATCTTTTGGAGATTAAATTTGAATCTTTACAAATTGCTCAGTTTAGACAGGGTCTTTCCTTCTGCCTTTAAAGGGGCAGTGGTGAGGCCCCTGTTGAAGAAAAGCAATTAAGATTTAATTGATTTTAACAGTTTTAGACTGGTATCTAACTTACTCTTTTTAAGCAAAATTTTAGAAAAGCTTGTTTTAGCGTGAACCACAGCATGGAGACGGCCCTTCTGAAGATTTTAAATAAAATTAAGATGAACAGAGAGCGACAGTGCTGGTTCTACTGGATCCAAGTGCTGCTTTTGATACTATAGACCACACTATTCTTTTAACATGTCTAAAAGAAATTGGCCACTCTAGTTCTGTTCACAGATGGTTCTGATCTTATCTCACAGACAGAACTTTTATCATAAGTTTAGATACCTGTTCCTCTAGGGTTCATAGGATTACATGTGGTGTGCCTCAGGGTTCAGTTTTAAGCCCAGTGCTTTTTATCGTTTATATTCTCCCTCTTGGTGGTGTGATCAGGAGACATGGAGTCAACTTTCACAGTTATGCTAATGATACGTGGTTGTGCATCTCCGTGTCTCCTGATGACACATGGCCAATGGATGCACTTTTAACTGCAATTTAGACATCAAATCCTGGATGGCAGAGAACTTTCTCCAGCTCAACCAGGTTCTGAGGCTGAGAGAGAGAGAAAATTTTGGATGTTTCGTGGCCGTTCCAAACGCTTTGACTTGCAGTGAAAAGAAAGGTTTGCTATTCACCTTCTACACCTCGGATTTCACCTACAACACCAGCAGCGCTGTCACATCCAGAAGTTCTCAGATGACTTGGCTGTGTGTCGGTGGGGAATGACCTGAAGTACAGGTCAGTCATCGTAGACTTAATTGACTGGTGTTTGCTTGAACACCAGTAAGACAAAGGAGATGGTGATTGACTTCCAGAGAAAAACTACTCCTCAGTCACCAGAAAACATCCGGGATGCAGACATTTAGGTGGTGAATACCTTTAAGTACCGGGGTGTTCACCTGAGCAGTAAACTAAACTGGTCCAACAACACAGATGCTCTGTATAAGAAGGGCCAAAGCCGCCTCCACATCCTGAGGAGGCTGAGGTTCTTCAAAGTTAATTCCCAGCTGCCAACTACATTCAGTAGAGTAGATGTGTGAAAGAAGGATGATGGTGAAGATGACCTCCATCTTAAAAAAAACTCACCCACTGCATTCCACTGTGGAGGCCTTGGACAGCTTCTTCAGTGGAGGCCTGAGACATCCAAGATATAAAACAGAACTCTACCATAGGTCGTTCATCCCCTCTGCAGTAAACGTGTATAATGGCTCTGTTACACAATGACATCAATGCAATGTTCAGAATGTGTTCAATACTTGTGCACTGATGTACATTAGTATGTCAGTGTCCTTTATGATGCATATTTCTGGAAACCCAAGTTTTTATTTTATTTGTTGATTTTAGTGGTTGAAGGTTACAATAATAGCTGATTTTTCTGCTTCTTTTTCTCTAAAGCCCCCTTCAGACAGGCCATGAAAAACGGAAATTTTCCGGAATCTGTCCGTTAGACCTTTCTGTTTGAATACAAACATCCGGATAATGTGCTCCGGAATTTATCCGGACGAAGCCCCTAGTAACAGGTCCGGACTTGTTACGGACAAGGTTGCTGCTTTCAGACTGGTGAGGTAAAGTTCCGGACAAGGGGGAGGGGGGAGGAGGGGACCGGGGGACGCTGTGCGCACCTAGATAACGTATATATCACGTGACCGGGAAGGTATACCACGTAATGTCCCGAGTCCTGAGCACAAACACACAGAGGAAAGAAGGCGAACATCTGAACAGCATCTCCAACATGTCGACCAATTGGACAGATTCAGAGATTCGAGACCTACTCACGGTGAGGGGAGACATGATCATTATGAAAAGTATTCAAGGTACAGCGCGAGACTCTGTCACCTACGACCACCTAATAACGAAGTTGCGTGATCTGGGAACGCACCGGAGCAAACAACAGGCCATATCGAAGCTCAAGGCCTTAAAGCGTCGATACCATGAGGTATGTGACCACAATAGGAGAAGTGGTAACGACCGGATGGAGTGGAGCTACTTCGACTTATGTGAAGCTATATGGGGTGCTCAAAAAACCACAAACCCTGTTGTGGTGTGTGGAAGTATGGCGGCGGCTTCCAACCGACCAGAGGACTGCTCTGAGGCCAGCTGCAGCTCCCTTGAGAGGGCCCAAGAAGACGCAACGGACGGCAGCGAGAACCACAGGCCCCAAGTCGCGTCGGACAGTGACTGCTCTTCCATAGCAGGTAAATATTCACGTTAGCAAGCAGATGCTGTTGTAAGACTGGGTGTGCAGATGTACAGCTTATAGCTATAAAAACGTTAATTGCAGACAACTGCGACCTAAACAGCAGGCTTTTAACTTCTGGTATCTAAACTGCTCCAACTGAGCACGTGATGAGAAAAGCGCTGGGTGACGTGTTTGAATTACGTGCACATTGGGGGTTACAGTTATTGGAAAACTCACCAAAAAATGGAGGACATACATTACGTGTCCCATTTTGAACATGTATTTTGTTACTATATCTGAGTTGAGTTTAAATGTTTGTCTTTGTGGTAAACCTGTAGTGCACCATATTCAGATAATCACCCCACTGCACAAAATACATTGAAACACTAAAGCATATATGTGACACTAATGTCTGTCTTTTTCAATAGGGCCATCATGCAGCACCCCATCGCAGGCGGCATCCAGCACTCCAAGGCAAAGAAAGAAGAAGAGAGACAAGTCTTCCTACACAGAATGGAGTGAGGCTTTGGAACGCATGGATGAGAGAAGCCATCAGCGTGAAAGAGAATTAATTCAGGAGCAGAGGGAGTTTGAACAGCAATATATGCGTGAAAACTTAGCGGTCAGGCGACAAGAAGTGGCTACATTCCAGGATATAACATCTTTGATGCGTCAACTTGTTAACAGGTTGACTCAGCCGCAGCAGGAATGGATGCCGGGTCCAAACTACCACAATTTGTAGTTCATTGTCCCTCCACCTTCACTGGCTGATGTAACATTCTGACCTGCAGAGCTCCATCAGTGCAGACTGCTGCACCCCACATTCTCCATCTGTAGACAGTTTCATTTCAGTATTAATTTTCAATTTTTATTTGTTACACTTTATTTAAACTTTTGCCATTTATACAATCTACTAAAATGAGTTTTTTTGTGTGTTTTTTTTATACAAGCCTTGCATGGCAAACCTTTAGTCTCGATTAAATTGGGGGGGGGGGGGGGGGTATTGAGTTTAATTTTTTTGGACAAGTTTTGCACATTTTAATTAAATTTCTTTTACTTGAAGTGACAGATTTTGCACAACACAACTTATACCTCTGTTTGCAGTGTCTATTTTACTGTTTTTGCTTGGCAAATAAAAACCTTTTTGGGTGAAACTATGAATACATTCTGATCTTATGTGAAGAATGGTTAACACTGTTAAAAGTTTTCTTTTTAATTAGGGGAAGCTGACATAGTTACAGTCCCAAAATGTACAACGCAGTTTTGGACAAGAAGCACAATCAATTTGAAATGCAGTTAAAGTACTGACATGATTGCCTCTCAAATTTGCTGTGCCCCTCCAACTGGAGGTACATACACAGCTTCTGCATTAGGTTCAGGTAGTTCAGTGGCATCAGTATTCCATTCAGCAAGGTAATTGTCTTTGTTGATCTCGCAGACATTGTGAAGAATGCAACAAGCAATCACAATGTCTGGCATAATGTGAACGTCCACATCACAACGCTTGGCCAGACACTTCCAGCGCCCCTTAAGCCGCCCAAATGCATTTTCAACAACCATCCGAGCAGAGCTTAAACGATAGTTGAAGGTGCTTTGTTCAGGCATCAGACGATGGTGTTCTGTGAACCCCTTCATCAGCCACTTCTTCAGTGGATATGCCGCATCCCCAATCAGATGAACGGGAACCTCTACACCATTGATGTCTCTGGACATCTAGAAGGACAGAAAACAAAGATTAGAGGTGTAGGTGTGTGTGTGCGCGCGCAGATTTAGATGTTAAGGCATACCTCACGGGGGAACAGGTAGCCATCTTGTTGTTCGGCTTTGATGAAGATGGTAGAGTTGCTGAGTACTCTGGCGTCATGCGTTCGACCAGGCCAACCAACATAAACATCTGTGAAACTGAACAAAGCATTTCGTTAGTGCTGCAACATAACAGCCCCAAACAACAAAGGGACGCATAAAATGTAAATTTGCTCTTGACAGCAACATAGAAATTCATGCTCTCACAAAACCAGTCTTACCAGAAACGGTGGTCAACAACAGCCTGCAGAACAATGGAATGCCAGCCTTTTCTGTTGTGATATGAAGCTGGATCGTCCTTCGGAGCAATGATTGGAATGTGGCTTCCATCTATAGCTCCACCACACATTGGGTAGCCGCGTGCAGCAAATCCATCCATTGTGACCTGTAGCTGGTCCAGCTTTGGTAATGAAATGAAACGTTCTAGCAAACGGTCCTTCAAAGCACTTGTCACCTCTCGCAAAAAAACACAGACAGTGGACATACCAACACCAAACAGGCAGCTTATGGTTCTGTATTCGCTCGGTGTGGCATACCACCAGATAACAACGGCTAGCCTGAGGGAAGGTTCGTAAGGCCTGCGCCAGTTTGTAGTTTTCCGTGCCAAAACAGGCCTAACCAAGCTTAACAGGTAGTTGAAGGTCCTGCGAGACATTCGAAAATGTTGATACCACTCCTCATCTCCAAAGTTTTTCAACGCGTTTGACCAGAAAACTTCGCCACTTGGTCGTGAATGTTTCCATATACGCCGGATCGCGGTCTCCTGAAGCATGCGGCGAACCATGGCAGCTCGCCTCCTACGGTACCGTCTCCTACACGCGCGACGGAGCGCTTCACACCGCTCCCGTGATTCCTTTATTACCAATTGAGCTTCATCATCCAGGTCTCTAATGCATTTTCGTGTGCGCAGGATTACGCTTAACATAAGTCCGATCAGTGAGAGGAATTCTAGCTCTTCGCCGGCCATGTTGGACTGAATAGCTTTGTTTGGGGAAATGACGCATGTACGCCCGCCGCACTTTGTTTACGCAATATCCGGGTACAGCCTCCCCACCCCCTCCCCCCAGACATCTGGAACTTTTCCCTGCTGTCTGAACGCTGCCGAAAGGACAAGTTCCGGTACAAAAGTGGTGTGTCTGAAAACACAGTTCCGGTTAAAAACCGGATTGAATTTTCCACAAATGTTCCAGAATGTCTGTCTGAAAAGGGCTTAAGTGTATGTTCTGTTGTAAGGAGTGATTTTCCCCACTGTGGGAATAATAGTCTATGTAACTGCTCATGAAGGATATTTTGTTTTTTGTGGAATAAAACGCCATGCTCCAACTGATGTTCAACTGGTTCTTTATCTTCTTGTTACCAGCAAACACCGTGAAAAACTACGGTGAAATGAACAACAATAAACACAAATATTAATTTTAGAAACATAAACTTATAACTCAGATATTAATGCAATACAGATAAATATACAAACACACCGTGTGCGCCTCTCCACTTAATATTCACAAGCAATTTCAGTCCATGTCCACTTTTCTTTATCCGATGTGAGCTCCTTCTGGTCGCTTCTCCGTGCTTGTGTCAGTTAATCATTCGCTCCGCTCGCGCGCACCTTCCAGTGTCAAATTTCAATCCAGCCAGCAGGTGGCGTCAAATCAACAAAGAAATTAAATTAAATATTTCCACAGTTAAATCAAACAAATGACAATGAATAACCACATTTAACTGCGACAGCTACACTGCCACCAAAATTACAATGATTGAAATTCACTACACATTAAAGAACTTTAAATCTTGTAATTTTCAATAAAATAACTATCAACCATAAACCTTTGTTATGAAACACACAGAAATCAGTAACTTGATAAACTCAAATATCACATTTTAATGTTGTATCAAATTTTGTACTTTACTGTAGTTTAGGACTCACTTTTAACCAAAACCACTAGTTTTTGAACAGGTCTCTCCAGAAAAGATAGTTGTCTCAGACGTTCACCTTTGTTCCCTAAATCTCTTTGACCTACTTGGATCTTAACCTTTCTCACTAAACCATCATCGTCTTCACTGGCTTCAACTACCTTTGCCAATTTCCATTCATTTCTTGGAATGTTGTCTTCCTTTAATATCACTACATCTCCAACTTGAACATTTCTTTTGGGGTTGTGCCATTGTTGCCTCAAACTAATGGTAGTCAAGTATTCTTTGCACCACCTGCTCCAAAACAGTTCCGTTAAATATTGCACTCTCCGCCACCTTTTTCTGGCATATAAATCTTCACTGACAAATCTACCAGGAGGCGGAAGTGGTACTGATTCTTTCATAGTGAGCAAATGGTTAGGCGTCAAAGGCTCAGCACTCTTGGGATCATTCATTGTGTTAGTAGTGAGTGGACGCTGGTTCAAAATTGACATGGCCTCATAGAAAAAAGTTCTCAAGGAGGTGTCATCTAATCTTCCTGTGGCTTGTGCTAGGACAGAGCTCATGACGTTCCTAACTGTCCGGATCTGGCGCTCCCAAACGCCTCCCCTGTGACTAGGGATGGGTACCTTTGACATATGAATCGATCCGGTACTAATTCCCGGTACCTACGAATCGATACCGGTACTTAACGGTACCAATTTTCGATACTTTTGAGTGTTTATTATTTTAATTCTCTTTTATAATTAAATATATATTTTTCTCAATATATAACAATATTTGATAAATATCACGATAAATAACATACAACTGTTTGTATTTTAGCATTGTCCTTGTAGTTTTATAAGCTGATAATTAAACTGAAGCAAACATCTTTGCTGTGAACTAAATTTACTGTGTATCTTCATTCCTTTTGCCATCTTTAGGGTTCCAAGCCCAAAGGGCAGGGAACCCTATTGTTTTTCTACGGATTTTTCATTATTTATTATTCTTCATTATTCTTCTCCGCTGTGTCTGTATGGGGGCAAGAGCCTGAAATTGCCAGGAAAAATCTGACAAGGCAGTCTGATACAAAATCCTGACCGCTACTCAGATTCGAAAATTTGGACCCCGAGTCACCTAGGTGGCGCTATTGCGGAGGTGAATACGTTTCAGCTACTAGCTCCCAAACCGTAGGTCCTACAGTCAAAAACTTTATATGTACATGATCCTTGGATAATTCTGCACGTCGTTTGTATTGGCCACGCCCATTTCCGCCTAACTAGATTTTTTGCTAGATCGCAAAAAACGCAAAACTTACTTTTAATCACCTATTCGTCATTTTTCGTTGAATCAACTTCAAAATTCGTACATGTGATCTATGGACTAAGGTAAGTTGTTGTGATGAAGAAAAATGCAGAAATATTGAAAATTGGGCTAATGACACCATGTCAAAATCAGTGCGCTAGCTAGCACATGTGGTAATTGATGATATCTTCACCATTTCTCAAGATAAATTGATGAGACTCTAGACCCTTATGAAGTATGAGCGGTAAGCCCTATCTACCCCATTTTGTTTGGATTCACCAATAGGGGGCGCTAAAGAGTCAAAAAGTTTGTTTCAGCTAAACGGCTTGATGGATTTCCACAGAACTTGGCACATATGTTAATCATCGGACCCTTAAGCTATATTTTGAAAATGATTAAAAAGTGGGCGTGGCTTATAGGCTTTAAAAATTTTCGCCCTTTTACTCATGAAAAATACATATTCTATACAGAAAATTACAATTCATATCAGTCATAGTGACATCTACAATCACAGAAAATTTTTTGAATTTTGTCCAATAGGTGGCGCTGTGGTACCTCAAAAATATTTTTGGCATGTTTCTCCCCATTTCTTTCGTAAAAAAACAAATGATCTCGTCCAGTGTGTTCAATGAGTCAATCAAATTTAGACGAGTATTTTAAAAAATGTTTTAAACTTATGCAAATTAGTAGAATTTTGCATAGTAAGTCCAACGTACTTTCGTTAACTCCTCCCGGCCGTCAAACTCAATCACATCACAACTTTCCCTGACAAGAGAGGAGGAGCGGCTGACCAAAAGATGTGAAGGGATTTTCAATAAATTGCTTATTTTTTTTAATATGATTTTTTAAAATAATTTTTTGGGAATGAAAAAGTTTTTTTAGCATAACTTCAGAAGATTTTGAGATTTTTTAAAGCTGTTCATAACAGTCATACCTAAGGTCAATTCAAGTGTATGTTCTGGTTTTCAACTTGATTAAACAATAGGGGGCGCTATAACTGGGAAGAAATTATACTGCTGAACCGGCTAAATGGATCTGCAAGAAACTTAGTGGTTGTCATCACTATAGAGTCTTAAGACTACATTATCAATATGGTAATGATTGATCAAAGTGGGCGTGGTTTATGATCATTTAAAATTTCAAATTTGAAAAATTTCCTAAAAATCACTATTTGCATGTAAGAGGCTAAGATTTCCAGATTGTGTTAACTGGATAGGCTAGAGCTTATGTCACGAAAGCCGCAGCTCTACGAAGAGGTTTGCGCTTTATATTTACGAAAATACATTTTCAGGCTAGCAATTGTAGCGCAAATTCTGTTCACACAATCTTCTTGTAATTTGCCACAAAGTTCCCTCTTAGGTGGTTTATGAAACGAAAAAAATGTCGTCTTGATTTGAGCTCCCCCTTGTGTTTAATTATAGGACTTATTTTTGTCTACAGCCACTAATGCAAATATTATTTTATTGTAAGAAAAGTTTGACAATTATGATCTTTTCAAAAATATGAGCACAATAGACACATCACAGAGGCAATCTGGGAATATTTTGAGATTTTTGTACAAAAGCATTGATTTTTAATGAATTTTTTACTTTTTGCCAATTTTTCTGTATAGTTGGACAACAACGTAATTACTTTTTGTTAGAAAGTTTTTTTTAGGTATACAGTAAATATAAGCCATTTGCAACATTCCACATGTACCTATGGTGATCTGAGATTTTTCTCCTAATTTTAGAAAGTAGCACTATTTTTTTATGAATATTTTAATTTTTGTTGTGACCTTTATAGTTATATTTCCCAATTTTTCTTCAAAAAAGCTTTGAGTCTACTGATTTAAAAACAACACCGTGTTATTCCGCATGTTAACACTGCCATGTGAGAATATTTTGGTAATTTTAGGATGATTTATGTATTTTTCATGATTTTTTAAAACATTTGGTCAGTAAGTCACAAAATGAAACTCGTAGTTTTTGTTGAAAATCTTTTAAATCTAAAGACATTATCAAGTATTTATGTTATTTGTAATATTCTGTTGATGTATAGATCATTGTTTGATAATCTCACTCATTAAATCTTCACGTTCTTTTATAAGGAAACAGTGGAATTCAATTGTAATCACCATTGAGAAGTCAGCCATGCCTCTGAAAGATATGTGTAAAGGCTTTGCAGGTTTAATGACGTATCCTGAGTGTTACTTTCATTGCGCCGGTTGAAGTGAGCTGACGGGACGCCGGCGGGAGAACGTGTATTTGGGGCGGGACCGCGTGAGGACTGGCGAAGTTGAGGGCGGGGCGGGTGGGCGACTGGCGCTGGGGGCTTGGAACCCGTTGATAACTGCTTGCAGTTCTAGTTTTTCATTTGATTTTTCCTACTGGGAAGTTAGAATTTCCGAGGAGAACGCGAATGCACCATTAGCTGATAACAATAATAGCAATGGAAGCTAAGATATCAAGCTAACGTTATCTTAGTTTATTTAGCTATTGGAGCAGATTAAAATGATGATGCCTCACACTTAGATCATTATCACTGGTTTAGTCTTCACCCGTCACATTTAGTAAAGTGAAGCCAAACTTTAGAGCTCGTTCAAGTTCTTCTAGTCTGGAAATCGGAGTTCCGAGGAGAAAGCGAAAGCACCATTAGCGAAACGGAAGCTAACATACCGGTATCAAGCTAATTATATTTACCTACCGGAGCAGATTAAGATGAGGATGTCTCACTTAGATCGTTGTTGCTGGTTTCATCACCCAGTTACCCATCACATTTAGTGAAGTGGACCCAAGCTTTAGCCTGCGTTCGTTTTACCCGTGCTGCTCTGTTTACAACTGGTTCGCAACGAGCGACGACAAAACGCTCTTGCGCATGCACAGCTGTCTTGGCAAGTTCTCGTTATGATGGACGGGTACCGAAACGAGGCACCGTTTGAAATGACGTGAATCGGTGCTCGGTCGGTACTATGGAATTCGGTCGGTACCTTAAAAAGTACCGAATTCGGTACCCATCCCTACCTGTGACTAGCTTCGGGAACATTCATCAGAAAATCACATTGGTTTTTAGCAAGATAAGTAGAAATCCTCTCGTTGTCTAACTCCAACAGACACTTTTTGAACTCGTTCTTTCCCCCTACAAAATTGGTACCTTGGTCAGAACGAATTTGTCTCACTGTGCCCCTGATAGCTATGAAGCATCTTAAAGCATTTATAAATGCGTCAGTGGAGAGATCCTCCAACATCTCAATGTGTACAGCTCTAGAACTTAAACAAGTAAACATCAAGCCATATCTCTTACACTCTTTTCGACCCTGTTTCGTATAGAAGGGGCCAAACACATCAAGTCCAGTGTAGGTGAAAGGTGGTGAAGGATTTACTCTGTCACATGGTAAATCAGCCATGCGTTGTTCTTCAGTTGGTCCACGCACCTTTCTACAAATGACACATTCTTTAATGAGCTTGGCCACTACCTTACTAGCACCTATGATCCAATAACCATTTGCTCTAAGTTCGTTCAGAGTTTGGCCTCTGCCTTGGTGCTGTGTTTTCTTGTGGTAGTGGTCAAGAACAAGCTGAGTGACAATGCCTTCTTTGGGAAGGATTACTGGATGTTTCAGTTCAAATGATGCTGAGGACTTTCTCAACCGTCCTCCTACTCTAAGCAAGTTGTCTACAAGGATAGGATCCAGTTGATACATCTTATGGGCTTTTGGTAGTTTAGCAGTTTTTTGACTAAACCATCTGAGTTCCTCTTCAAAAGCTTCCTTCTGTGCTAGCTGGAAGAGTACAGAAGCAGCCATTTGTCTTTCTTTCACACTGATGGCTCCTGATTTGTCTCTTTTTGCAAGTCTTTTAATCCTTGCTACCACATTAAGTGCTGTGATCCAATCAGAGCATTTCATGAACCTCTCAAGAAACCTGTCTTGCTCAATAGCATCTGTTTTAAGAACTTTTACCTCTGGGTCACCAACAAGAAGTTCTGGAGATTGTTGGTTCGTGATAATTTCTCTTTCCCAAAGGAATTTAGGTCCAGTGAGCCAGTTTGAGTTTATTAGCTCTGCCACCTTGAGGCCTCTAGATGAGTGGTCAGCTGGATTTTGATCAGCTTTAATGTTAAACCATTGGTTTGGGTCTGTAGTGTCTCTTATTTTTTGAACTCGATTTGCAACAAACACATGAAAGTGACGAGCATCGTTTTTTATGTACCCAAGAGTCACTTGAGAATCTGTCCAGAAAAACTCCTCGTCGATTTTCCGCTCAAGCTCTGCTCTAAGAAAGTTACTAACAAAAGCAGAAACTGGAGCTGCAGTGAGCTTGAGGTGCGGGATTGTGACTATTTTTATAGGTGCCACTCTGGCTTTACCCATAACTAGAGCACAATGCACTTGTTCATTTGTAACAAACCTAATGTATGAGCATTGTCCATAGCCACTGCTGCTAGCATCAGAAAAATGATGCAGCTCAACCCTTTTGATTTTGCCTAGGTTCTCAGGAAAGAGGCATCTAGGTATTTCGACCTTTTGAAGATTTTCCAAGTCACAGAGCCAAGCTTTCCACTTGGTTTCCAGTGCGGAAGGAACAGGTT